CCCCTTGCCCCCAGCCCTGATGCCCCTTGCCTCCCAGCCTAGGCTCCATGGCTATCAACATCTACCCAGAACATGAGCCAGCTGCAGGCATCTGTTGCCTCTCTGCAAAGGCCCCAGCCCCGGCCCTGGGCAGGCAGCTGATACCGGCAATGCTTCCCAGTGTGCTGCCCTCATCCCTGCTTCTCCAGAGCAGTGTTGGAACCCGGTGTGGCATGGCACAGCAGGGGGTGCAGAAAGCTGCCTGCTGTGAGCTCCCTACTGCCCTGACCACACTTCCCCTGCATGTAGGGGCAGCAGCAAGGGGCACAACCCTGTGTGCTGGCCACGCTCCTCCCCTGCACACAGGGGAAGTGTGACCCAGGCAGCATGGAGCTTGCAGCAGCAGGCAGCTTCCCTGCATGGCCCCTCTGTGCGCTGCTGCTCTGGGTCGCACATGCTGTGCTCCCAGCCCAGCTACCTGCCCCATGGACCTCTGGAGTGCAGTGTACGCAACCTGGAATGGCAGCACACAGAGGGGACAGACAGAGGGGCCCCACCGTGGCTATCAGCAGCTACCCAGAGCCTGGGCCAGCTGCAGCTGGGAGGCTACAAGCAGCTGCTGCCCTCCCACCCCCGCCCCAGCTATCTCCCAGCCCCAGACTCTGGGAAGGCAGCAGGTGCAGGCACTGTGCCCTTTGGGGTGGGGGTGGGAGGCAACAGCTGTTTGTAGCCTCCTGGCTGCAGCCAGCCCAGGCTCTGGGTAGCTGCTGATAACCACAGAGCCCAGGCTGCTCCCAGCAGGACTTATAGCCTCCCAGCTGGGAGCAGCCCAGGCTCCCGGCTGGCAGAAGCTACCCAAAGCTGGGGCTGGCTGCAGCCAGAAGGCTGCAAACAGCTACTGCCTTGCCACCCCGGCCCCAGCCCTGGTCCCAATGCATGCTGAGGAAAATGGCCTCACGTGCCATGCTCAGCATGTGTGCTGGGGGCTGCCAACCCCTGTTATAGACTAACCAAAGTAGATATATGTATATATAAAGCATAAGCTTCTGGGTCATAAAACCTACTGACTTTCCATATCACTTCTTCACCTTCTTGTGGTTACACAGGCATCCCAACTAAGGACAAAGATCTGCTCTAACTGAAACTGTATAAAAGCCAGGGATATTTAAAAAAATACAAGGGAAGGATGAATTTTACCTCATATTTCCTGAGCTGCTCCTCTAGGAACCTCCCACTTAGACCAGATAAAGAGGATTGTGAGCAAGTAAATGCTATGGATAGGGCAATAGCTGAAACCTGTAACCCCTAAATTGAAATTCTGCAAAGGCAGGCCTTTTCTTATTATTGAAAAAATGACATTTTTCTTCTGAAAAATAAACAGACACCCTCTCCTGTAGAAGCCAAGAGTTAGGAAGAGTTCTTGTGGCATACTAGCTGCTTAGATGTGAACTGCCAACAGAAACATTGTGCATTTATACTAATAACAAACAATGAATTGCCGGAGGCAACAGCTATTACCCACACTTGAAGAAAAGAAACTTCGGCAACTAATATAATGAGCCCTGTATCAAAATACATCCCTAAAGAGGAAAATGCCTTCCTTTCAGCGCCCAACTCAAATATCTTAGTCTAAGTTGTGGCAAACACAGAGGGTAGCTGATATCCACATTAATTCTGACTGACAATTTTATGGTAAAATCTGCTTTAAGACCTCTCTCCCAAGGTCATTCATAAGAGAAGTGCACTTTGAATTAGCTTAACTGGCTGCCAGATGCCAGTCTTCTTGCACAGCAGTGCATTTATCAGACTCACTGGACCTTAAAGTATTATGGTCAGGAAAATGAAAATGGCACCTACTTATTCAATATGCAGTAGGTGTTCTTTTTTATCCTGGGTTAAAGAAATTCTTACTGTTGTCACCAGCAGTGCAGAGTCAAACTAGTTAGAAATAGTGGCCTGGATTTCACTGACAAATGCTCATCTAAATTCAACCTGTAGGATCTTTCTTATGATGATGATCACCATCCTCAGCTGGTATAAACAGACTGAGGCTGGTTTACCAGTGTGGTCCAGAAACAGCACAGTGTGGCTTTTACATTTCAGGCTGAATGCTCAGCACTATCATTTAGGGAGAAAAAAATCTGTGCTGACAAGCTGAACCAATTGGATCTGGAAGTAATTGAGAGAGAACAAATACAAACCCCAATTTTATCACTTAGGTTAGAGGGAGAGAAAATCTGCTACTTTATCTGTACTATCTCAGTGCCTAAGCAAAACCGTTCTTGCTAATATATTTCTTGATGCAGGGTTCTATTTTATTATAAATGTGTGTGCTGTAATGGAGCTCCTACTATTTCTATTTGCCTTCTGATCTCAGTCTGTGAACCTAAGTGGCCCTTTTCTCTCCTGCCTTCTAACAGCTTTTAGTCATTTTGGCTGCCCCATTTATCAGCCTTCCTTCTTCCTTTATCCCAAATTTGCAGCGCAGGGTACATCTTAACTTTCCATGCATGAAGTTTGTGGCACTACAGAGAGGTTTGTGGTGCCACAAACTGCATGCTCCTGCTTGTCTAGACACAGCCAATGTGTTCTATTTATATGTAGGGGTGTTCAAGTCTAGCCATATTGTTTTGGGGCTCTGACCTTCATATAAGATTAATTTTTAATGTTTAGGGATGTGTACAAAAGTGCTCCATGCATGTTTTACAGTGCTGTAATTTAGAGCAGGGGTTGTCAACCAGGGGTACGCATACCCCCAGAGGTACTTGAGAAGGCCCTAGGGGGTACGTGCGGGTGGGGACAAAGCACTGCCATGCACCATCCCATGCTGCTCCCCCTCCACCCCATTCCACATTTGGCCACATGCCATCCTCCAAACCTGTGTCCAGCTGCTGGAGGTACGCTGTTCTGTGTCCAGCTGTTGGGGGTACGCCAATCCAAAAGGGTTGAAAACCCCTGGTTTAGAACACTTTTTATAACACTATAAAGTTACAGTGCTCTTAAGCATGACAGAAATGCAGTGTTTTGGAATGGTAGGAGTGGAGGGCACTCTGAGCCTCCCTACACTTTCCAGGCTAGGAAGCAAGGGGGGAAGGGGGCACTCTGAAGCCTCCTGGGGTTTCTCCACTGGTCAAAAATTTGACCAGTGCACATAAGTTATTTAAAGTGCTATAGGTTGCTAAAGTGCTGTAAAATACCACACTTCAAATTTAATACCTCATTTAACAAGCTTTAATTTAAAGCACTGAACCCATTTTTAAAGTGCTGTCAACTCATTCACTTCTGTTAAGTCACGGCAATAAAGCACTTTAAATGGCAACAAAAGTAATGTCTGTACACACCCTATGTGTGTATGTGTATGTTTGCATCTCTTAAGACTGCTGCTGGCTTCCATTGGAGTATGAGAAATGGGGTCAGCTGCCTAAACTGGGGTCTGTATATAATTTTCAATGTTAGAACATGTTTTCAGTGATCTCAGTTCTCTGGACTAATTCAGAGAAAGACAATTGGGCCCCCAGTCCCCAGAAGGCTTTGTTTCCAATGTGATGAAATTCACATTATTTTTAAAGGCTAAATTCAACCTAGGTTTATATTGGCACCTACTGTGACTCGGATGATCCAGAGGCCACATAGCTAGCTAAGAAAGAGGGTGGCTTATCTGTAGGCATCCAGCCAGTGACTGGGAGAGAGCTTGCCACAACCATACAGGCGTTCATTGAGGCCTTGACAGTCACTCCCCCAGTGATAAAAAAACACTCAGGAGAACCACAGCAGGATGCCCTTCTAGAAAATCCTCCCCAAGGAATCATCATAGGGTTTACACTGACATCAGTCCCTGATGAAATGGTTACTTGATTCTTTTCTGCCCTTTCAGAAAGGAATCGATCTATGTGAGCATTTTAAGTCTTGGAGCACATTTGCTAGTACTGCAGCTAGCAATAACCTTGAGTTACAAGGTATATACTTTTCCCTGATACAGCAGGATGTTTAGGGATTTGAATTTGATTTGAGTTTTAAATACAAAATAACAATAACCAGTCAGTGGTTTTTCTTAGTTTCCCAAATTCAGGCATCAGGGTGCTGGGGGAAAATATGAGCAAATTAATTCTAACTGATCTGAAAGTGAAGCTTCTGGGTTTCTGTGCCATTATCGCTTCCCTACTCCATCTGTTGTTGGAATGAGTTATTGGTCATGTTGTTTTCATTATATGCTCAAGGTCTTCCTTTTCCTGATCCCTTCTCAGATGGGAGATTGGAAAATGGAGCACCTGTAGTCTCACCTGTGGAGTTGGATTGCAGACTCGAGATGTCTTCTGTTCTCACCTACTCTCAAGAGACACAAATGAGACGGTGATTTTGGCAGATGAGCTGTGCCATAAACCCAAGCCCAGCCTAGTACAAGCCTGCAGTCGTTTTGACTGTCCACCATCCTGGTACCCTGCAGACTGGCAAGAGGTAAGAGCATGTTCCTAGTCCCATTTTATCCTGTTTGATGCCAATACAAGAACATGACCTACTTTAGTTTATGAATAGTTTAGCGCACGTGAGAAGATCCATTAATCTCTCAGTGCAAGCTGGTAAGTTCATTCAAAAAAGTAAAATGAATAGATGCCCGGCTTAAGAATCCCAAGGAAAGTTGTATCTTTTTATCTCATCTTCAACAAAGTCATCATAAAAACACAGATTGTTTTTCTAATTAAAGTATTTTTATTACATTTTAATTCAGAATTTTTTCACCTGGAAAGAACAGTATTACTTATGTACCTCACCAAATACAGCAAAAACTGTGTTAACTGACACTTTATTAGCTGGAAAACTCTATTAACCGGCATCTGAGGGACGCAGCAAACATGAAACCGGAAGTACCACTTCCAGGGGACTTCCCATTTTGCTACCACAAGACTTTTTCTTTGCCACTTCTTTGACCCACGGCCCAGGGCAAAGCAGCCTGCATGGGGCCCCCCTTCCCTGTCCCCCAGCACACTAATTCCGGGGAGTGCACCAAATGGTGCACATTTGATTAACCAGATTATTTGATTAACCGGCATCTCCCATTCCCGGGGGATGCCGGATAACAGAGCTTTTACTGTACTGTTATTAATTTGGTCTCATACCACTAATGCTCTCTGGGCAGGTGAGCAAAGATGAGGCCCAGCCTGGGCCACAGTCCTCTTTTTTGGGTGAACTTGGGGAGGGGAATAGGGACTTCAGAAACAACTTTAAATCTGAAGCCCTAACTGTTCTCTTGGGGCTTTTTATAAAAGTAAGGATTACCCTTGGTGTCCTTAGCCATGATTTCTCCTGCTCTCCAGTATCCTGGGAGCATACAGAGCACTGGTCAGAATCTGGCACAGGATACAGGGTGACAGGAAGGCTTTCCAGAGCTGGATGATACATGCCTATGCATGCCTGCAGCTTCATCTCAACCAGTGCAGCCCCCAAGGTGTGGGCTGTGGGGCCTGGCTGTCAGAGGAGTAAGCATAATGTCACTTTATTGTGGTTCTCGACCTTATTAGACTCAAGTCACCACTCTGAAAATGCCAGCTCTTAGCTTTCACTCATTTCTTGACTGCAGAAAAATAATAGAAGAGTTCTTCTGTTGCAAAGAACTCAGACTACAAGTCAGAATGGTTTTGATGCTATGTATTCCTATTTGAAATTTCTGGGTTTATCTTGTGAATAATCGATAGGTATAACCTAACAGCACTAATATTGCACAGTACTCAATGGCACCCTTAAAAAGATCTCCACGGAGTGGAAGTGCTGCCTGCCCTGCCCTAGGGTGAGTCTTTCAGGTGCAGGGAGGATTCAGTTCAAACAAAAGTGAATCTAGACTCTATGAGAAGATGTCTACCTCACAACAAGGCTATGCCATAATTCCCTTGGAAGAATTTTCTCTGAGATAAAATTGTGGTAAAGTGAAATCCCACATCAAGCCTAAATGTCACTGAAATCCCAGTTCAACCCTTAGGCCCCTGCTACACATTACATATACTATGCAATTAATGGCCATAGCAGAAGCACCCATTTTGCTGCCTTGTCAGAGCCCAATGAATCTGTGACTTGTAAACACCTGTCATAAACTATCTCAGACAGGACATGAGAACATGATGATGACACAATTAACTGGTTAATCATGCAATAAATTCAGACCAGCTACGTACATGAAGTAATTATCACACAATAAAAAATGACTCTCCAGCTATAAAAATAGCCAACCAGCTATAAAGTTAGTACTTGAAAATGTGAAAAAGCTCTATATCTTGTTTCTATCTAGCTTGAATCTGAATGTGAAGGAAGGGCCTTAGAGTACCACATAAGCCTGTATGCTTGCCTCCTGGTCAACAGAGCATTTCATCTGCAGATCTCATTCCTTCTGCAGGTCTGCTTTTCATACCAAACCTCTCTTGAATTCTTAAACAAAGAAAAGAGATTTATACTACAAAGGCTTGAGAGTGATGTTTTCTTCTCTGAGGCCCTTTGGCTAGGGACAGACATTACACATAAACCAGTTTAAGTGATCAGAAACTGGTTTAAACCTGTAACAGAACAGACATTCAGTGCACATTAACCCATTTGAAAATGGCTGAAACCAGTTTGAGATAAACCTGGTTGAATGTAGTATCAGACTTAACTGATTTGGGTCAAACCAGTTTATACAATGTCTGTTCCAAACCCCTTGCTGGGTTAAGTTAAATCAGACTCCCCCAGCATGCTCTCTGGGCTGGGCAGGGCTCTCTGCTCCACAGAAGGACTGGCCCCTCCCTCTGCTCCCTGGCTGTAGCTCTGGCACAGATCTGCAGGCACAGTTGGGTCTGTTGGCTTCCCTATGCACCCCTCCCCCCACCCCCTCTCACCACTCACTGCTTAAGCAGAGATCCCTTCCTCCTGTCTCCTACAGCACGAATCATAGCCAGCATGTGGTATGCTAGTTTATGCCGTGTGAGGCAGATAGGACAGGCATAGGGTTTTTCAGAGCTAATCAACAGCTCAGCTGGTAATGTCCCTCCATTCCTTCCTTTGAAAAAAGCTGTTTAAGAAGAGCTTGAACTAATGAGCGAGGCGTTGTTTTTTGATGGGGTGCTAAATGCTGATAACAGATCTGATAAATGCTGTTATCAAGAGGGGATGGGGGGGCTTCCTAATCACAGCATCCTGACATGACCTGGCCACACCCCTCAGCTCAGCCTTGTGAAAGAGAGGGCGGGCTGTTCTAGCACCCCCCCACAGCTACTAGCCAGAGCCACTGCAGGCATGTGCCTGCATTTTTTCAGTCCAGGGGGGATGTCTGTACTGTTACAAAGTGATTTAGCCTAGCCAGGTTAGATTAATCTGCAAAGATTGAATCAATTCAGGCTCAGGATTTTGAATGTCTGTCCCTAGCCTTTAGGTTATTAAAGAAGGATGGTCTGAATTAAATTACTTTAAAATGATAAAATAAGGAGGAAAAATGAATAGAAAAACATCTGAAGAGAGAACTGATTTTCTGGTGCTGACTATGGGAAGCCACTGTTTGTGTTAGTGGGACAGCACAGCATTAAGCTGCCATAAGCAGGGAGGGGCTTTATTCAGGAAACTTCAGTCTTTATTCAGTAATAAAACAAAGAAATAAGATGATTTCTTAACATGACATTTCCCACTGAATGTCTGCAGAGTAGATATTTACAGGAAGTTGTAAAAGTGATCCTGGTATCCATTTCTCTTCAGAAATTCACTACTGAAAATAAAATAAACACCCTAATGGCTTTATCCTTGGGAGAGAACATTTTTAAATAAAGAGTCTTGAATTTATAAGGATGTATTCTTTAATCATTTGGTATGCTAGGTACACTGATATTTATCAGGGGTTTATCTGCTAAAAGCACTATAGGTTTTAAAGTTAGGCAATGGTGAGCTCTATGTGCCACCTGAACTCTTCAGGGCTGCTGGCAGAAAGATGTGCCTTCCTACAGAACCATGGGAGCTAAGAGGATTGTGCTTTAAAGCTAGATTTAAGCATTAGAGTCATAGCCTTCAGCAGATAGCAATGCAGATCTGCAGTGCTCCTGGGGAACTCTGGGCCAGGATCATACCTTAGAAAGTGCAGTCACAAGTGTCCTACCAGACAGGGCACTGCTCAAGCTACCTCATCTCTTACAGCAGTCAGGCATTTCACTAAAGCCAGGACTCATTCTCCTCTATCCCTTCTCTAAAGTTTGTCCACTTCCCCTGTTTGTTTGAAGGGAAGGGCCCTCATGCACCCCAAGTGCAGGCATTTTAGGGGTCTATGATCCTTGTGCAGGGTCTGAGAATGGGGAAGGCTCCTTGGACTGGCTAACCTGGAGAAGTCTTGTTACTTTATGTTAGTTTGTCAGGGTTCATTTAAAAATGTGAATAGACCAGACCTGAATTAAGGCAGTGATGCCCTAGAAAACATCACAACGTGCTCTCTGTGAGCCTGCCTTCTATCTGGAAAGGCAGTGACAGATGGATCTTCCTTCCCACCTGGAAAGCACTGTAGAATGCGACCCCCTTCTACTGCCAGGATAGCAACAAGGGCTCCATCTCCTTCAGAAGCAGAGCCCTCCTCCCCCAGAGGAATAGAAATAGCAACAGGGAGTGTATACTCCAGTACCCAGGGTGCACCTGCTTTGGTGTGTGGGCTGAACCAACAGTGATTTCTTCTCCTGCCACACATCCAAAGTGTACTGCTGGTGTGTTATTAGTGTAGACCTCCAAGATAGCAAGAAGCATTAAGAAATTGTTGTGATGAATGGAATATTTTATACACCTTAGAGATATTGTTTAAGGCACTGTGCAAATCTGGGTGGATATCACTGCTTCACTTGCACTCAGATAATGTTTTGAAGATTTACTTTGAAACCATAAGGTCTAAAAATGTCCATTAAAATAGAAAAAAAAAGTAAGCTGAGACTCCAAAGTAATGACTTGACACTGTCTCAGAGCTCATACCCATGGAATACGTTTAAACTAGCCCTGCCCTATAAATAGATTCAAAATCTTTTCCAGTATTTGCATTACATTTGTAGCAGGCTTACCTTTCAGGGCTTGGGTTGAGTCTTAGGCTTGAGATTCTGCTGTTTTGATTGGTGGAGCCCATCCACCAATCAGGAGGCAGCAAAAGGAGTGAAGTCACACCCCTTTCCTGAGGGGAGAGGGAGAGGAGTTCCCCCGGGACCTGATTGTAGACTATCAGGTTCAGAAGACTTCAGGGGCGAAGCCCTGAAGAGTATAAAAGGAGCTGCATGCCCAGCACAAGGGAGACATGTCGGGGATGAAGAAGAGAGAAGAGCAGGGCTTAGAAGAGTTGAGGAGAGCTGCTCAGCAGGGCAAAGCAGTAGCCCAGAAGTGCCCCTGAAAACTTCCATTGGCAGGGAACAGCGGACAGCTCCAGCGGCTAGGCTCTCCGTGTGCAGCATGGTGCACAGCGTCCAGACCCTGGGAGCTGCATGAGG